AATGGCATTAATGAGTCGTCTCTTGATGGTATTGAAAATTTTGTCACCCTTACAAGGCAAAGAAATGAAAACGGGCTTCTTCGGAACTATTTATTCCGTCATTTTAGGCCGTAATGGTTTGTTATATTTCTCTATAAACTGTGTTGGGTATCCGCGCTTCTGTAGAGTTACTTTGAATTCAGTTGTGTATCTTCTCGGACGTTCATTCACGTTATGCAATGAGGGGTGGCAACTGACGAGCCCTCTCGAAATTTATGGATCCATTAAATTTTGCCGTTTATACAGTCTTCATATAATCGATAATTAAGTCGTGTACACCGGCGAAGCTTACGACGAGACTGCATTGGCTATTTCTGGCTTTTATGCCGACGTCAGCTGCCAGTGATATCCGAAATTTGGACCACAGGTAGCGAACTTTCCGTGGACTTCTGCTAGTTTTTTGCCTCTAATGCACTACTGTAGTTCGCTTGTCTAGACTGTCTGTCAGAGTAGGCGAGGACACTGTTCGGTTAGCCGAATCCAGGCCTATTGCTGAAATTTTGGTTTAACTTACGGGGTACGTATTTCCTGACGAAAACTCGTGCCTGTGAATATTTCCCAAATCGGCGGTGAGTCATAGTCACTAGTCGGTGTGATTTGCATGCACATTTGCGCGCTGACGGATGTGCTTGCCTAAAATACAAGAACTTAGTTCGGCAGGCGTCTAGCATACATTTTTGGCTACTTGGGTGTAGTTGAATGCATAAACCTACTATTTCCTTCTTCCGTGCTAGTTTTAGAATTTGCGGAATAACTTAATACTACCTGCCCAGTTTTATTTAGCCAACCAAATTTCTAGGATGTCCAAACAGCAATTCACTACATAGTTGGAATGGTCTTTAAAGGAAATCGCTGCTCTTTACAACTTTGACTTTACTGTCGTCAAGGGGGAGTATGCTGCCTGTCAGTTATCAAACCATCCTTTTTATGTCTCCAATTTGCACCTCCCACAAACGCATCACCTACCGCGAAGGCGGTAGGCCGTGTCTTCGTCCAAAAAACAGTCAATTGCAATAAATTGGACATTCTTGGCCTCAGTGATGTTCGCATATAATAATGAAACTGGACACTATCTAATTTAATAAGGCCAAGCTCATCAGAGTCATAAATTTCATAAACACTAATCTTCATCATAAAGGGCAGGTTTTCGGTCTATTGCCGACTTGTTGGATTCTGATAACATTGGCTGAAAAGACAGGGGAGACTGAAGTGAACATTTCTGGCTGAATATCCGTCATATCTAACCACAAGTGGGACCACACTCTAGGCTCGAATCTGCGACCTTTTGATCAGAAGTCTAACACTCTAACCACTGAGTCACGGGCTCAGTATCTCACCGGTTTAGATCGGGAGATGCCCTTTATACATTCTATCATTAATGCCCGGACGTAATGTGTGACTTAAAATCATATATACATGACAGTATTTGGAAAGTGGCATCCTCTCACTCCGAAAACCCACTGGCCTATGTTTCTGTAAGATTGTAGACAGCGAAAATCTGTTTTCTATGATTATCTTTCAGGCCTTAGCAACTTACGGGGGAGGGGGTGTTGCTTAAAATAAGCTTACTGCTTTCTCTTTTTCTCTTCCCGTCCGATTTCCATGCAGGCTTTGGTGGCTGCAAATTCATCACTTTCGAAGACAGGAACTGGCACTCGGAATGCTTCAACTGCCACAAATGCCAGTCCAGCCTCGTCGGCCGCGGTTTCTTGGTGGAAGACGGTGCAGTCGTTTGTCCGGACTGCAGTGCATAAAGCCGCTTGCAGTCTCCACACCACCACCGCCCCGCCCGGCTCTTCTCTCTTTTTCAACATGGTGTGGTTAACTGCGGATCAAGGGCCGT